TGTTTCTTTTTTATTTTTATTTTTTAATTGATCACATGCGTTTGATTAAGGTAAATTCTTTGAAATGGGAAATTTATGGGCAAAGATCCTAGATTCCTTGGATAGTTCTGCGGCTTCCTGCCTTATAAATTCCCCTATCTATTTGGGTGACGTTACCGATGTAGATTTTTACACTCTTGTTTAGCATCCAAATTTTATGCAATATCTCTAATCAATTTTGATCTGTTTTACTGAATTGGTTGAGTTGCAAAGATGTGATTCCTATCCTAGTTATTGAGGAATAAGAAGACAATAATGGTATATTTTGTAAATTTGAAATTAAATAAAGGGTAATTAGAAAAAGAGCAGCTTTTGTATTTCCTGGGTGGAACCCACTGCCACATCATTTAAAAGCAATTAAAAAGTGCACGTCAGCAACCATTGCGACTCATTAAAATATGGTTAAAGGCCTAACTTGGTCTTTACACTATTGTAGGGACACTGATATGGTTTCTGAACTTAAAAATTTTCTAATTTGATCCTTAAAATTTGAAAATTTGACCTCAAGTTGTTACCTCCATTAAAAATTCATTTATATATCCCGTTACTTGACAGGAGAAAGATATTTAAAGGATTTTTACATGTTGGATTAGGGCTGGCAAAAGGGCAAAACAGGTCGAATTAGAACAAGTCATGGGCTAAACGAGATCGAACCAAAACCAATCATGAATTAATAAAAATTGACACTAACTCACCAATCATGGGTCAACTTGCAAGTTGAGCAAGTTGAATTTTTTTCTTTTTCTCTATACCTGTTACCACGTTGGGCTTTAGACCTTTAGCATTCTAAATTAATTAGAATATTTTTCTATGGTACAACTTCCAACAAAGAAGATAAATGCATGCAAAAGAAAAGGAAACCAAATCCAAGCTGTTTAATCTAGGATTTGAGTCATCACCATCTTCATATTTATCAACTCGAAAAATCATTGATCCAAATGATCCTTCATCCCCCCTTAAAGGCACAAACAATGCATCATCCAACAGCAGATCATCTCTCCGTGCTAAAATGGTCTTTTCCACTTCTATCACTCCCATTACGTCTCCAAATTTCCATACGTCCGTTTTCAAGGAGAAGATCATCTTGTGGGTCATGATGAGGTAAATTCCCAAAATGCTTCATTCCAAAATCACTATCATTTTTTTATTTTTAATTTTCCTTAAATTAATTGTTGTTTTTTCAATTTTTAAGGTAAACAAAATTTTTTTTCTACTTTAATTTTATCATTATCCATTCACTTAATCATCTAATCACAAAAAGTTTCTTTTTATTTTTTATTTCTTTTTAGGGTACTATAAATAAATAGAAATATTGTTCCCAAATCCTTAATTTAAAAAAATATAAAAGTGACAATTACTTTAAGACAAAAGAGTAAATAAAAAAAATTTATTTAAGTAATAATTAATTATAAATAAATATAAAATTTTATCAATTAATTATAAAAACCTTAGACCTAACAAATTTAAACCAAATAAGTATTTAGAGTCTTAAGGTCAACTTTTAAGGCAAGTTTTTGTTTATTAAAAAAAGAAAGAGAAGGTAATAAATATTGCAATTGGAGTGATTATTCTTTAATTAAATTATAAAGGTAAATAACTTTTTTTTCTTTACAAATTTATATTAATTTTATGATTTTGTCAAAGAATAGCCTTTGGCTCGAAAAAAAAGAAAAAGAAAAGAAAAAAAAGAACTCAAGAAATAATCATTCCTCCAACCAAACAACAATTTTCCTACTTTTCTTCAACAGGCTACCATTTTGCAACAGGCCAACAATGAAGGATTCGTTTGTAGGTGAAATGTTGGGCTTGGAACTAGCCAGTTTCAAAACAAAGGGCCTCCATTCATTTCCCATCCAATACCAACTTCTTGTACCTTACACTTAAAAATTACTTCTTTTATCTCAAATAATTTTTTTTTGTTTTTTCTTTAAATTAAAAATTTATAAATGACGGCTAAAAAATAAAGATTTATAGACAATTTATGTGTTAATTTATATTATTTTAAAAAATTTAAAAATAAAAAAGCATTTTTTGATAAAATAATAATACTTAATGTAAAAAAGAAAACACTAAGGTTAAAGTAAAAAAAAAAAATAGTATTACTCACTTTTAAAATGAATAAATGACAATTTAAAACAAATTCAAAATAAAAAATAACAATCTATAAAATAAAAAGAGGAAATCATTACTTCTTTTGTATCAAAATAATTGCTAGTTTTTAACTTTTACAAATTAAATATTTTGAGATAATTTATATACTTACTTATACTATTCTGAAATAAAAATTAAAAAATAAAATAAATTTTTTGTAATAATTAATTAAAATAAATGAATAATGATAAAAATTAAAATAAAAAAGTATATATTTATTTTAAAAATAAAAAAATAACAATTAATTTAAAATAAATTCAAAATAAAAAATAAGATTTAGTTTTTTTTTTTTTTAAACGTTAAAGATCAAATTCAAATTTTACACCTTCAAACCTTAACATGAGACGCCTTACTATTTTAACCATTAAACCACTGAGCCATTCTCAAAATAACATCTACTTTAAGACAACAGTTATTTAAAAAAAAAAAAAAAAATTAGTCAAAAATACAGAGAAGTAAACAAAGGACATAACAACCGACTTCGGTTCAAACCCTCGTATAAAAGGTTATCGATCGCACGCACGCCACCTTCAAGCCCTCAAGCAAGAGTGTTTGTTAGAATTTTCCCGTACCAGCAGTTACGAGTTTCAGACAATTGTTGCCCATGAACAAGAAGTCACTTTGAGGAAGCCTATAACAAGAAGCCATTTTGAGGATGGTCAGAATTTTCCCGTACCAGCAGTTACGAGTTTCAGACAATTGTTGCCCATGAACAAGAAGTCATTTTGAGGAAGCCTATCTAATTATTATGGTTTTCATTCAACCCATCCAGAAAATGAATCCGAATTGTATTCATTCAACCCAACCAGAAAATGAATCCGAATTGTAAGACAACATCATAAGACATAACAGGTTTTAAAAGACTTTTCCATCAGAAAAATTAGATATTTGCGCTTACAGGGAGTCTTCAGCCTATACTTTGGCAGTGTAATTCAAGCAGAAAAACCCGTAAATCTCAAAAAGATTCTCAGTAAATTGAGATTAAAATCCTGCCGAATATTTTAGGTGTAGTCTAGTATTTCTCTACCATATTACCATCAGAGACTCTTAGGCATTGGTGAGCTGCGTGCCATTTGATTTTGGAGTGTATTTTTCCATTAGGCCATTTAATTTATCATCAAACTCCTTCTCCAGTGCAAACTCTTCCTCCCGGTGCCTGTGTCTCATCTCAGCCATCTTGCCTTCGTGCATTTTTATCAGTTCGTCCCTCTCATCAACAAAGGCTTCCATCTCTTTATCCTGGAACTTTATGAACTTTTCAATTTCTCGTGTCCTACAACCAGAATCAGATAACATCTAAGAAATTAACCACATAAAACAAATAAACACAAAACCAACTTGTCCTGTTTCTAATACAGAATATGTAGTTTAATGCCACATTCTACAAAACTACTAAAGTTGTATCAAAATCACTATACCTGCGCCTGAATTCTGCAGTATTTGAAGGATTTGTGATTGACTGCTTGACCCTCTCACGCTCTTGCTGCTGCAGCACTTCAAATTTCTCTTCCATTGCATCCCTTGCTTCATGCATGTTTTTTATTTGTTCCTTGAAAAATTGCTCCTGGGCATCCATCTGTGGAGAATATTGAAAACCAGTCACAATGAGTGAAGGGAAGAACAGAAATGAGGTATTCTATCAGTACAAGCTTTACAGCATGTTCCTCTGCAAACCACTTGAAAAGAGCAGCCTGCATCCAACCCACTCCTATACACAACAGGTTAACACTCACTGATCTCAATATACCAAAGTTGATTCACCATCATTCAACATTATATATCAATGGTGATCAAAGAGTATGGAAAGGAAACAGCAAGTTCATATTGGAAACATTTCACAATATTAGACATCAATGGACACAAGGCCTTCAGATTTAAATGGGAAGAAAACCAACAAGCAAATCACCAATATTTATGCAAGGACACATACATTAATAATACATGGGGAAGAAAAGAATGAATCAGAAAGACCTCAAACATGAGCAGTATGAATGAGAGAATCATAGATACAAAATCAAGATGGTATCCAATTATCTATCAAACAAACAAAATAAAATTTTTTAAAAAAAAAAATCTATGTGAAATATACAAAATATTCACTAGATCAGAAAAAATTACAAGAATATCCAAAATTAAGACAGCATATTAAGCACCAATGTAGAAATACAGATAGCCATTGCATAGATAAAGCAGTATATTACAAAATTCTGCCTTCCAAAGTATCAAACTTGACTTAGGTTTCTTGAAATTTTCAATTGTGCATGCAAACTAAGCTTAAATTTAAAAGAAGCCATAGTTGACCAGTACATCTGAGCAGTGTTCTAGGTGTCATTTTGGGATTGTTACCAAATATTAACGTACATAGTCCAAATCATGAAGGACATGAAGGTGTCTATAACAAAATGTGCAAAGCAAGTGAGGACAAATATCCATAAGGAAACCAAGAAAACTGTTCAGCAACTCAAACAATTACCTCTTCTTTGTTCTCTTCATGCTTCATTTTTGTCCTTTGTTTGACAATTCGGTTCTCCTCCATAGTCTTTCTAAGCTTCTCACTCACTATTCCAAAAGACTCCTCTAATTGCTCTTTAGCCCTTTGCTCCTTCACTACCCTGTTCTTGTACCAAATAAGCTGCTGGTTATCCTCAGCCATTTGCCTCATTTGCTTAACAACCATCTCTTGGTAGGACCTCATTTCAAATTTCAGCTTAGATTTGCCTAATCAATTGCACAACAGGTCAAACTAATAGCACAATGTATCAGCAGATTTCTAGAATTCTACTAACTTTCAAAAGAAGAGAGTTACTAGGCATGTATAGTCATCATGTAACTTAGAAGTTGATTAAAGAAAGAAGAAAAATAAATAAATAAATAAACGTGAATGCTGCTGGGAGAGCACCTATAAGCTTCTCCACTTTATTGTTCTTTCTTGTTTTCAGTGTTTTTA